CCACCGTGGACAGACCCAGATCCTCCAGCAGAGACCGGCCCACCGTGGACAGACCCAGATCCTCCAACAGAGACCGGCCCACCGTGGACAGACCCAGATCCTCCAGCAGAGACCGGCCCACCGTGGACAGACCCAGATCCTCCAGCAGAGACCGGTCCACCGTGGACAGACCCAGATCCTCCAACAGAGACCGGTCCACCGTGGACAGACCCAGATCCGGCTTCACCTGCAGCCTTGGACCTGCAGTCAGAGCTCTGGAGGGAGGAGGAGAGCTCAGCTCCCGACAGCAGCAGCGTCTCCTCCTCCTCCAGGAGCAGAGCTCCTCCTCTCTGGGAGTCAACACCGACACCATGCTGCTGGAGACCCAGGACGTATTGCTGGACCTGCTGGAGGGAAGGGAGGCACGGGAGAACCAGAACCAGAACCAGGACTGAGAGGGGCAGACTGTCAGACCCTGCTGCAGCACATGCATCTCCACTAAAACCTTAATGTTTAAAACACTTAGGACGTGAGACTGTTCACGCAGAATTCTTATAGATAGTAAAGTTTTGATATTTTTTGCTGTTGTTAACCTCGTTTACTTCAATTTTTCTTTCTCCAGTTTTTGATTCTCCATTCACCGTCAAGGCATGACAGAAAAACAAAAGTTTTCCTCAAGAATTCAAGGTGACACCAGGTGAGTAACTGATATACAAACGGTCATTTTGTGTACAAAGTATTCCTTTAAACGGACTCAATCCGTCTTTCTTCGACTGAACCAACATCGCTTCAGGACGGCAGGTAACCGAGCCGGTGTTCAATAAAGAAGCTGCATCAGATCCATGCGGGGTTTAATAATTTAGCAGCTTTGGTTCAGCAGTGTGATCCTAAACAAACAAGATAACACATCTAACAAAGATCTGCTTTATTTCTCATCATAGAAAACAAACTGTAGGTGTGAACACAGTCACAGAGACAAACATGCTTAAATGCACCGAAGCTTTGTAGTCACCAAATCTAAAATACATACATTCATTTACAATCAACAGTACAATCACAGAGTTTGGGCGATTTATACAAAGAGCAAACACAAACTCCAGACACGCAGAAGCTGCTCAGCCTTGTTTACACATTTAGATGGTCAATCCCACCAGACATCAATCGCATTGATCTCCACTGACCTTGCTCTCTCCTACACGGCAGCCTTTTATCCCGTGAGGTTGTGCAAACACCAAAGACCTTGTTGAAACTCTGCCTTCAAACACTCAAACAACAAATATGGCCTTCATTCTGCCAGACAACGAGTAAACTGGACTCGTCAAACAGCCGAGAACGGCATCGGCGTGGGATTCACTGGCTCCGTTTTTACGTTAATCTGAATATGCCAGGCTGCATGTAAACTGGAATATTAGTGGAATAATCATTTTCATTAGCCATGAAAACAGCTTATTGGGTATACATTATATATTTCCTGAATAAGGGGCAAAAACTGGAATGTTTGATGCATGTAAACGTAGTCAGTGATGAATTAATGATTAATCAAGATCTGTTTATCAGCTCACAAATGAGACAATACTTACATCCCGCGGCCCCTCTGCCTCACCCCATGCCTCTGGGAGACTGCTTAGCCAGGAGGAGAGCGGACAGCAGCTTGGGAGATGGACGGTCTCGGCTGTAGCAACTTGAATACAGTCAGCGCTAAACCTCAGCGCCTCCGTCTCCGGAGAGACCGTCCGTCTGCTCTCCTCCCGGGCTGTAGTCTCCTAGCGGCGGGGAGCATCAGACCCAGAGCTGACGCTGACCACCAGCCAGCTGTTCTGCTCATTTTCTTTAACCAGTGAAACGTTAGCATGAAAATATGGTGGAATTAGCAAGCTAACGTAAATTCGCTAACTGGCCAGCTGCTAAATGAGCAAAACTTACCAGCTTCATCTCCACGCTCTTGTCACAGCGTAGAAAAGGACATCGCTATCTCCAGTTAATCAATCATTAACATTGATTCAGACGTGCTAATGTGCTGATATCTTGATTTCCTGTTGCAGAAAGGAGAGAACAGACTTGTGGCCGCTTCTCTAATCTTTGTCATCCAGCGACTCGCACATTTATCCCCTCAAAATATTCCCGTATTCTTGACTTCAACACAGAAATGTGGGATTTATTTTGAACGTGCAGAGAGTTTTGAATGTGAGCCGAAATCGTGCTGAAATATATATGAGCTCTTAAAATCCAAGGGTTTAAATGAACTAGAATGAATGGATGCATCATTGAAGTGAACAGCTGCCACAAGCACATTTAAAGAGGTTAAAGGCAGTCAAGCCTTCACGTGTCGACACAGCAGAGATAAATATTTGAAAGCAATACAGAATGTCTGAAAGCCTCACTCACTGCATTATACTCTATTATATTTTCATATGATTGTGTTCCTCAACATCCATAAATTGGTGCATTAAAATGTTGTGATGGAGGAGATCACACAAAGGAAAATGAAACGGAGCGACGTCAAACACTGTGTTCACTGAATGGCGATTCTCTCAAGTTAAGCGGGTCAGTCTACTTGCAGGTAGCCCTTTATAGACTTTATAGAATTGATATATATTATATTTACTCTGATACTTTTGTACTTTCACTGAAGTAATGCAGGACTTTTTAAGGGAAGGTTATAGACAGTTGAGAAATTGTAGAACCATAAATATTTATTTAAACTCATTGTATTAAGTAATTGTTAAAAAATCGATTATACCTGTTTGATATACGGGTCTAAAAAGGTAAGGAGCAAGATATGCTTTAGCTGATCAGATGTTTTAACATATCTTCAGTCATTTTAAAACAATATTAACAAGGTTATTCATTATTACAGATTGTCACCACATGTCGAGGGGATTCTGTTCCAGGCAGGTGTACTCTTTATTTTTTTATATTATGTTTTGTTAATTGTTTCTTGGAAAGTTCCTTTTGTATATTAATGTGCTCTGTTTCCATTAGTTTTAATCAAAGTCACAACTAGAGGAGCCAACTTGTGTTCCTTAGACCCGATAGATTTTATTCTGCCTTTAACGAGTCCATGTGGTCGTTATTAAAGGGGAGGACTGAGAGGTAGATCTGGCATGTGTTTATTTCTTGTGTGGTTTGAGTGACCTTAGCTTGTTGTGAGCAGGTACATTTGAGTGTTGCAGAACAGTTTTGATATCGCATTTTATGTTCATGCATTGTTAATAAAATATGTCTGTTTGGTATGGCTGTTCCTGGCTCCACATCATTATGGGTCTTGTGAATAAAGTATCACCTGGTAACACTTGTAACAGAGTGCTTTTATACCATGGCATTGCTACTTACTGATGTAAATGAACTGAATTCTTCTGCCACGACTGTGTAAAACAGAAAGCTCAAAAGTACCAAACAAAAAGAATGAGCTGAAACAGACGCAAAGTTATTCTGAAAGGACATATTGAGGACTAGGAGACAAACACATGAAGATGTGACGCCAATCTGTCCCTCCTTGTTTCATCTGAAAACAGTCTGCTTCTTTTTCAGCGTTTTTTCTTCCCATGAATGCGATTTAACGGT